TTTAGGGTGTGCGAATTCATAGATTTGAATAGTATCGACAAACGTAGGATCTTATTTGATTGTCTCAAAGTATTAACCTCCGGAGTGCAAATTTTGGATCCGTTATATTTACCGATAATTGAGAAGATATCATACGCAGCCGTACACAAAGACGGCCCAGGTCAGAAGTAAGCAACTGCAGTCCAGTAAGCCCGACTAACATTCTTCACAAGGTGCTGGAAGGGATCATCAAAGCTAATATCAGTAAATACTTAGTGGACCATTCTATGCTGTACCATACTCAGCATGGGCCCAATATTCAAGGTGTCATCAGGTCGGAGTTCTCTCAGAATAACGAGTTGTTGTTTGAACCTGGTCNTCCACCAGACAACCACCCTCAGCACGTTCGTCCATCGTGAAAAACGATTCAGTTTCTGCAGTAAGATGTTGGTTGAAGCAGTGACTAACGTAACGGTCCTCTTAGTTTCTAGTAACTCTGTTGCGACAGGGGAAATCTGAGTGTCGGGCCATTCGCTGGGCTGGTCTGTCAAGAACGCCGGTCCATGTAACCATGGTTTTATATTCTCCAAGTTCAGCACACCCCTGGAGCAGTAGTCGGCTGGGTTGTCACAGGATTTTATGTGCCGCCATTGACCCACCTCCGTTTCTTCGTGAATGACAGCCAACCGGTTGGCAACAAACGTGCTGAAGTGCCTCTGTACATTGCTAACGTAGTGAAGAACTATAGTGGAGTCGGTCCAGTAGGTTGCAGTTGATGCCTGCCCTACTCGGATTCAGGATTCGAGTGGGTTGGAGGCCGTTTGCGGAGACGGAAGTGGGCTACTTCGGGCCCCTAGTAGTGAAATACAGGCGATCAGTTGCGAAGCGATACGGTTGCTTATTTACCTGTATGCAATCCTGCGCAGTGCTCTTAGGGATGGTGCACAATATGTCTACTGAATCCTTCCTAATGGCACCCCAAATGTTGGTCAGCAGACGCTGGGTCCCGACCAACATTGACCCAGACAATGGTTCCAACTTCCTTGGTCAAACCAATGAGCTGTAAAGTTGGCTGTCACGCACTGACCAGAGTGAACTACACAGGGGATTAGCTTTCAAAAGTATTCGTTTGCACTTCAATCCACTGTACGCCAGCCATAGGGGAGGGGTGTGGGAACGCATGATAAAATCGATGAGAAAGATACTATTGGCAATATGAAATCAACAGAGCAGACCGAGAAAACCCGCAGTTGAGGAATCCTCCAGGTTAGTGATAGAGGCACTGTGAGTCATGGAAAACTGTATGTGGCTAACCTCCTTAGCTGTCGGAGACGGAGAAAATGAGGAGGAGCGCACTAGAATGGCACAACCGTAGGGGTTATATAATAAAGGTGATAATTGGTGCTCCCTCGAATTTCCGTTCGACGGTGCGACGCGAGGAAGGATTTTACCGGGCGGTGCATTGATCGATATGTGAAAATCCTCCCTACAAAACCCGGACAAAACATCACTGATTCAATTTCGTGAATTTCACGTTTCACTAGCTCAACACCCTTAGCCCCATACATACATAAAAATTGACGTTCCATCTGCTTTGTATATTTACGCGTCAGTCCTATTATTTGATTTCATTTGTTTGTGCTTCGCCCGGACCTTATTTGTTTTCATCGTAACCTGACCGCTCACAGTTGACGCATTCGGGTGCAGCATATTATTCCTGTCCAGACTCATTTCATCCTTCCAGATTGCTTGAATTATGCTCACAATAACAATTGGCTGTTGCTTTCAAGTTGTTCTGCGATCATATTTGACGTTTGTACATATTTTATTTGGCTCATTTGATCGTTTCTTAATGCAGTACCATGTCATTCGTTTTTTGACGTTTTGAGATCCAATGGTGGCTACGAGATGCTTGTTAATCTATTCGGGAGACAACCATGATCATGTTCATCGGAAAATGTCCGGTATGAAACTGTCGGTTGAGCAACCGATATAACATCCATTCGATAGTTTTGCACACATCGTCTTCGACATGAATTTGCAACATTTTGATACCACATTCAGAGCTGCAGTAGTAAAATTCCAACGGGTGGATCCACGGTTGGGAACGAAAGTGATTTTTCAAACCTCTCATGCAGTAAGAATCAGTTATGCAAATATCAGAATCAATTACTAGTAGTGAAGAGTTAAAAATGTGTTCGACTTTTCATTGGTGAAAATAATTTGAATGAGCTTAACAGGTGGACACTGCATAGAAATACCTTGCATCAAAATTTCAGTTGTGGAAAGATATGCTGACGATGTTAAGCGCTGGGGAACCGTCTTGGTGCTAAACGAATTCACAGCACCAGTGTCGGTTATGGATTAATGTTAACTAGGATCTCACTTGTTATTTCTAGACGAATTGAAACTGTTCAGGTTAAGTCAAGTCAGTAGTAGCTTCATGCACCCGGATAGGCGAATTTTCAAGAGTTTCATGGACAAGGCAAGCGCATGGAAATCTGTCGGTAATCGCAAATCAAAGAACGAATTTGGTGTCAAGCAGTTATAAGAACTTCACCAAGTACTGGGAATAACCAGCTCTTACAACACTTGTGGTGTTTCGAAATTTTAAAGACGATTGAGAGGGTCATCTACCAGTACAAGGTAGTTCACAGGACGGCTTACCCGAGTAGATATGGTAGTCCATATTCTAGCAACTATAGGCCACGACTGTCCTTGAGTGCAGCAGCAAGGCCCGCCGGGACTGATTAGTTGAGAGTTATGGATGGTTCGAAATACGAATGCGCACCTTGTTTACATTCTTGAAACGCCACATCACCCGATCTTGTTTTACTGAACTTCTATTGTGGTTGAACAATTCTTCTCGTTTCATAACAATAAGCACAGCCTGAAGTTTTTCACAACTAACTTCAAACGAATGAATTTTGCGGATAAAAATCAGAAATGGCAAGTACTGTAACTCAAAGCAATCCTAACGATTAGATTATCATGAAGCTGAGCTTGTAATTAATCACCGGACTGGCAGTACGAAGATGGCTTCCTTAGCCGTAGAACAGAAAATAAGACAAATACAGAACCGGGACTATTGGGCGCGAGCCTCAAACCTGAGTAACACTTCAACATGCTCGTTCTGTTTAACTGAAATTCCAGACAATACACTGACAGTCAGCTTTCTATGCTGCGTCAAGATGTATAGATTGGAAGTATATCAGTACTTAACCCCACAAGTACCCCTACTTATACTAAATGTTACACAAAGGCATAGGAACTTTTTCCAATAACGTAGAGAAATCGTGAATTTTGAATTTCAAAATCCGCATTCCGACGAGCGAAGCACCATATCCCCAAAACCCATGAAGTCAGTTGGATATGACTGACTACTGGAATCACCAAACTGTATGGATCCAGTCGGATTACACTGCGCGGAATTCACCTCCTGCCAAAGCGTAGTGACAAAATCCTGAGCTCGGATCCTTACTCCATATCGCACTAATGTGAATACACCTACGACTTTCCAAAACAAGCCGCCTAAACACCAATATTCACAATCTTTACAACAACACCCCGTATGTTGCTAAAGCTGATAAAATTATAAAACTAACAGAATGCGGTCTCATATTGAATAACTGTTTCTTGGACTTAAACGTGAAATGAGGCGTGCTTTGATTTCTCCACATATATTAGGCGCTGGGCCAACGAAAAATGAATTTGAGGGCAGTCCCGCTTTTCACTGAAATACCAAAATCGCTGAAGCTGATGACGAACAAAAGCATCAATCCCGTTTTACACTACTACGGTGAGCCATATGTGGGTGGGATACTTGTGGGTCAGTGTGTACGGAAGCGAACCAACTAGAACTCAACCAAATGAGCGGATCTTGGGTAAGCGAAGTGGACAAGGTAGTTTGGGAACCCTGAGGATGAAAATTTTCGAACGGCTAAACATCACTGACAAGGAATAAAAATTGTGCCTGTATACCGGTTTTGTATCGGATTCCGAGGATCACGAAGTGTGAAACTGACCATACTTGGAATACGATAACGGAGAGAGAGAAAGCCAGGACGAACGGCCAGTTGGCATTTATCAGACGAGTGAATGAAACAGAGCGGGGGAAGAACATGGGGTAGTTAGCGCTGTACATGTGCAGTGTGATGATTGTGCGATAGACGTCGTGGTCACGGAGTAGCACGAGAAAAGCCGCTTGTGTGGGTCGGTCATACACGGGAACTTGGATGTGTCTGTGTACACCTAGGAGTTCAAAGCGAGTCCGAAAATTGTTAGAAAACCATGCAATTGGTGACTGGCCACCGGAATTTCAAAAAAGCACCCGAGAAGTAACAAATACGACAGGGTCAGAACAATAGTGTCTGTTGGACGGGGCGGGGTGAATAGTCCAAAAACGGATTGAGGACGGAGGACAGACCGGATTCAATCGTGAATTCAAAGTAACCAAATAATAACAATGTCATAATTTGGCCAAATAAGCCGATAAACGTTGGTCATCTACAGGACGTAACCGACCGTTGCGCTCATCGTCATAATCATCTTCCTCTTCTTCCTCCGGGAATTCCTGTGAGAAAGCATCCGTGTTGGTCGAAATGATCTGATTTGCAGGTTGTACAACACCGTCTTCTATCTCGGATAGCTCATCTTCCGTCAATCCGTCCTCTTCACCGGAGTCCGAACTAGCTGCGCTCGAATCTGAATGAGCCTCTTCTTGTTCTTTCAAATAACGCACAACCCGCTCGGGCAACGGACTGACGGTGAACTGAATGCAAAGGGAATATAAAAACCAAGCGATCAACAACAAAATTGTGGGCGAACATAGAAAGCTGTCTGACAAAGTGATAAGAAATGAGCATGGGGCTAGAAAGCGTGTACGAAGAGGTGGAGTACAATCGAAACCCTGAACACTTCCCCCGCCCCACAATATACCATCGGAGAAGTCATCGGCTTGATTAGATTTTGAGTTAATAAAACAGCAGCTTGACCGTATTAATGTTTATTTTTAGGTATCAGCTTATAGTATAACTCACCGATTTTATTCACCACTTCAGTACTATCCATCCAGTTTTCTCCATATTTATTAACGATAATTTTCTCTCAAGAAAATAGATCCCCTGGATGTACGTGTGGGAACAAAATAGTCCCATTTGAGTCCTGAATGATCGCATGCAGCGCTTAGATTCATCAGAATAGTGTCGGGCAGCCGCTCCACACACAAACACAGTGTCTAATACCCAATCCTGGTTCAAGTGAATAACTGATTGGAGTGTCTGACCGCCCAACGAACTAACAGGTTCAGCTAGTCCCTTTGAAAATCACTCACCGGTTGGTTGTTTGACATCGTGGAAATTGTCATCTGTTCGGAAGCGATGTTGTACGACTACTATCTGGTTATAAATATTTGCAGTTTATCACACTGACTGTCATCTTCTGGTAGTGAATAGGCAAGCTGGCAACTAATTCCAGTCCATTCTGGCAGTTGCACGAAGGCGCGATAAGCCAGCTAGCCACCGAACGGAGTGTGGGACATTTACACACTCCAAATTATCAAATAAATAACTTGTAGTTCGGAATTGTGCCGCGTGAATAAATAATGCACAAAACATTGTTGCAACACGAGTGTCGCAAACGGAGGAACAGCAGTACCATCTCAAACACGCATCATAGATATAGCAATCGCGAAGTTGGGGACTAGAAAAATGCAGAAACGACGTACTCGGATAATTTCAGAGAAATCGCTGTCCATATAACTGTCCGATCGGACACACAACGTGTACATATACGAGCCGGGGACAGAGGGGGCCACAAATCGGAGAGGGATCTGGAAATACGAAAAGACGAGAAATAGGAGGGGGTTCAATGATGGGAAGTGTCAATGACGTTGAAAAAAGGCATTGAAATTTCAACATAACCCTTGAATAGACAGGTATTACGGAGTCATCAGTTCAGTTCAGTTCTTACATCCATTAACCATGTACTTTCGGGCACCGGTTTTGGCTGCCCATTTGGATAAAAGAACAGAATGAAGATTATAACGTTGAGAGCAAATTCAAGCGGAAGATAGAGAATTCATAGGGACTGAGGTTACAATAATAATGGGTAGATGCATGAGCGCCACTGTTTGCGACACCCAGCTTTACCACTCAGGGTCCCTAACCATCGGTGACCATCATCTTGGGGTCCCCAGCCAGGGAGCTTAACAGGACCTATGTGACCTAGTCTCCTGGTTAGGGATTTCACACCCTCGTACCAGGTCTTAGTTTGATCGCCTTTGATCTTTTTCCAACCGCTACCTGCCTGGGCAAACATCGCTCGCCGTGGCAACCTATCTGGTGACATGCGTGGCACATGTCCCAACCAGCTCCAGTGAGTGACCGAGATTACCTCAAACTCTACGCCCAACTTCAGCATTGCTTATCCGGTTATTCGGCTATTATTGTAGTGGGATGTTAATATTGAGATAAGCTTCTCGGGCACTTCCTTCAAGGAAAGGTAGCGCCAGAGTTTAGAGCAGTCGACTGAGTCGGAGTCATTGATACTAATGATCGATTTCAACTCACTGACCACTCTAAACGCATCTTTCGGTGAAGCTCAGTTAAGAGAAAAACAGGAATATGCTTCCTTGAACTAGATCTATGCTTACTGAATTTAAGATTCAGTACGAATAGAGGATAGCTAGTCTGAGAGCCCTAGCATCAGCGTTGCATGGTGTTCCCAAACCTGTGTGACTTTCACAGTCAGTTGCACTTTTGAAACGATCCATTAACCTGTTTACCACTCGTCTTGAAAGAACAAAATACACCTGATCATCACCATAATTAGCTTCCTTGATTCTCACATTAAGAATGCACACCAGACGACCCTCACCTCTGTATCTGAGTATCAGATGAACTCGAAGGAATAGTTATATACCATATCTGATAAACTACAAAGTACATATTTATAACCCCCAAAACAAACCCCAAGATACTGATCATAAAACAAAAGACTGTAATACTTGAAAGTGCAACTACTGCGAACTGAACGTGTAACCGGTGGTTGAAGACACTGAATGATATACTTGCTTGCGGTAAACAGTGATGCTCGTTCTGTCACTCCATTTCTTCGAAGACTTGGTCTATCTGGATTCTCGCTTCGTCCTCTCGGTACTGCTCGAAACGTACAATTCGAATGGGAAGCCCAAAGACAACGACATCTGCCGTACGAAAACGTAGCACCGCTATGACATTCGAGTATTCCTTAAGCGAAGGGTGTACATCTCTGCGATTCGTAGTGTTCTGTTCTACGGTTGCTACACCTGGCCTCTGAGAGGAGGACGCTAATAGACTATGTATTTGACCACTGATACCTTAGAAGCGTTGCTCGTTTCCGGTGGGAACATTGTGTGAATAATGACGAAATTCGTTGTTATGTGCTGGATACTGATGGGGGTTCTCAAACGGATGAAATCGCTCGAAACCGCCTCGTGGCTTGGTCACGTTTTACGTAAACCTGCTCATTGTCTACCTTTCCGTGCTTTTTTAGCACGTGCTGTGTAATGCTGGAAGAAACGTCGCGGCGGTCGGACCATGACAGGGCGTGGAGGTATGAAGACGTTGGCTTCAGTTGGTGCAGCTCGAATTCTAGGCTGGGGCCAAAGGGTTGAGGATTCCTGATTGGTTAGACGCTGAGAGATATGGTTGAGAATGGATGTCGGTGGCGCGATTGCTGTGCGGTTTGGTTTTCAAAATCGCGTAAACAACAGTAGCAAAGCGTACGGATAAATAGATAGATAGATGCGGGAAAACGTTTTTAGCTAACAGCCAAAACTTTTACTGGATGATATGATCATCATCACCATCGTACAGCGAAATACAGTGAAGCGAACTTCACTGATTGCTGCCAAACTCGCAATACACACCAGGTTAGTGGTAAAATTTATGGTGGACAGGGATTGGGCCTATTTTGAAGGAGGGAGAAGAAGGTGAACCACTATGGTCAACACACAAAGTACGTAATCGAACTCTGCATACACACCGTTTCAATCATTCTGACTTGATAAGAAATGATAACAAGAACGCCACTGCTGCCGGTTCGCTGCCATATCCTTCAATGTCTCCAACCAACCGGTTATGGAGTCTTTCGGACCCCAACCTGGAAGGCGCGAGACACCTACTCTTCCTAATGGCTCTGTGCATTTCTTCATGCCTCGTCTCCAAGTCATCTGTTGACCTCCACGTGGTTTTCTCCAGCCCGGATTAACTACAGCGAATAAAGCGCAGTGCGACAGACGATGGCTGGGCATATGCAATATGTGCACTAGCCAGCGAAGTATACTAATCTGAATTCGGTGTGCTAGCAGGTTTATACCTGATAGACTCCCAAACACACGACGGCTTACCTCCACGTTACTAACCCGTTCGCTCCATCCAACGTGGGCTAAACTGCGTAAACACCGATATTCGAAAATTTCTAGTCGACGGATATCCTCTACTCGCTTTTCTTCGGCTGCCCATTTAACGTTTTGGAGTCCCCTTGGTGCACTCTCCAGTATTTCGTCTACGACGAAATTGGACAGGAACGGCGAAAGAGAGTACCCTTGACGAACGTCGCTACTGTTTACGAATGGCCTATTAGTTCGTTGTAAACCCTTACACGACCGGAGGTATGTGAGTACAGTGACCTCAGTAGGTTAACGTACTTCTGGGGCATTCCTTTTCGAAGAAAGGAGCCCATCAGAGCTTCGCGGTCAACTGAGTCGAAGGCTCCTTTCAGGTCAAGGAACAATGTGATCGTTGGCTGACAGTGGGTGTGACGCAGCTCAAGCATCTGATGCAATGTAAAAATTTGATCAATACATCCACGGTCAGGCCGGAATCCGGCTTGCTGTTCACGGATGTTGGTTTCTCTTAAAGGCGTCAGACGTCGACGTATGACGGAAGCTAGCATTTTGGTGACAATCGGGATCAAACTTATCCCGCGGCGGTTTCCGCAATCGTTGCGAGGTCCTTTCTTGAAAATGGAAATGATCAGGGATTCACCCCAAGATCAAGGAATGTGCTCTTGCATCCAAATGTTGCGCATTAGGATAGTAATAGAGCTTACGAGGTTATCACACACACCCCATCCTAAAAGGAGTGGGAGGCACCTCAGCCGGTCCTTTTTTCTAACTTCAGAGCTTGAATGCAAGACCGAACTTCTGCTTCTGTTGGAGGATCACATGACACTGCCCAAGGAGTTTCAACTGGGGATGAAGCAGCCTGGTTAGCACTAGGCCAGCTGAGCTGTTCGCTGAAGTATTCAGCCCAGCGATCAAGTTGTTCATCCCTATTGTGAGTAGCTTGTCCCATTTTATCACAGATTGTTTCATTAACTGGAATTCGCCGACCTCCCGTATTGCGTATCAGTTTGAGCAGCCTTTATTCCCTGATGCAGCTGCTACTTCCATTTCACTAGCTGTTGTTGCCCACCAGTTCTCACGACCCTTCTTGAGGCTCTTTATGAGCTGATGTTATAGATGCCACCTAACTCTATTTTGATCTTGACGAGTCGAGATTTGTCGTTTTTGCTCCATCAAAACTACTGACTCCTGAGATATCCAAAGCTTCCGACGGGTTTGAGGCTCAGACCCACAAGCAAAATTCGCTGCATTTGCATTGCTCGCCTAATTTGATCCCACTGCTCATCTACATCACGTCAAGGCGCGCTTAGCTCACGCACTATCTCTGACTCATAGAGTGCATGAACTGCTGGAACAGATAGTCGATGATGAGCTATCCGAGTTTGCTGGTTTTGTCGCCGACCAGTCAGTCGGAGAGTGAACTGTATCAAAACTAATGGGTTGTCCGACTCAACGCAGGTGGTCCAATAAGACCTGCAATTTTGCACTGAGCCACGTCAAATGTAACTTACCGCTATGTGGTCGACTTGAGTTTGTGTACCAGTTGAACTGAAGCACCACGTTGCCGTCCGTCGATATCTGTGTCCGAAGTTGGGGCTTGATATGAACAGATGATGGTTTGCACAGAACTGAAGAAGTCGATAGCCGTTATCTGTTCGTTGGTTGGACAGAACACAACTACCGCCTGAGCAAGCTTCTGATACGCTCAGTTTTCCAACCTGCGCGTTGAGGTCACCTGCAAGTACAACTAGGTCGGGGCTTCGACTCATCCGAATGAGCTCGGTGAGTTCATCGTAGAAGGCATCCTTTTGGGTATCAGAACTGCAACTGGTCGGTGCATATGCTGGTACGATGAAGAAACACCTTTTGGTGTTGCTTCCCTTTCGGACGCCGATTATGACTATGATGCAAAAGTGGCATCCTTCAACTGTAAAAGCACGTGTACCATTGCACTCATTCGACTAATCTGCCAAACAATATCCACGAATCTTGCCGATCGCTTTACAACGTGGAAGTAGAATTACTGGAAGAGACCCAGAGTCCCATTGTCTTCGACTTGATAACATAGTACACTCAGTCACGAAGATTTTCCAGCCCGTGGCACGTAAGTACAGCTCACTTACGATTTACAGCAGAAACCGAGATTGATTATCTTCAGATATTACTCCCATGATATTTGCACTTCGATAATTGGCTTCTCAAATGCTATTTCTTCCGCCGGTGTTTTCTGGAACCATCGCTGAAGTCATTTCGAAATGGCTATCCAGGAAGATCACGATGAAGCAACATGTGATAGGACATAAGAAATTTCATCTATCATATGAAAAACTGAGGCTTGAGGAACAAAGCCCAGATTGATAAAAAGCGTAGTTTTTTAGGAACCTATATCGGTACATTTGAACCAGACAGTGCATTCAAGTAATTACTTCTTAGAATCGGTCATATTAAGTGGTAGGGATAACATTTAGTGCTATGTCCACAGAAGTGTTTTGATGAGACGACTTTTCCGGACTGCACCTAATTTGAATGAAACCACTGAGAAAAAATGTGCACAGATCAGCCTCAAACGAACAAAAGGCCGTCGGATGAAGCATGAAAACTGGCCTCAATCGTACAGCTGACTAAAGTGGAGAAAATCATGCTGATCGTGACGAAATATACAACGCGTACATTATTCTATGAGGTGAGCAGAAACCTAACAGATCTGCGGGAGAGGAAATGAAACGAGCTAATGAGGCCAGTAAAACAACACTTGTTTGAACAGTCAGTTCTAGTCCGAGAGAGCGCGAGAAACGCGATCATTACTGTTGTCGATTTATTGCCCTGCTCTCTTCCAATTCCAACATTTTGAACTCCAGCTTGAGGACGAAAGATACCTACTCTATCGGATCTCATTCAACTTGGTGCTCACGAAATCTGTTGACTTCCGTATCGTTTTCTCTGCTCTAGATTGCAAGCGGGGAACAATGTTGTAGACAACTACCGTGAATCCACGTCTGTTCCAACCGATGAAGTCTACGGGTGTTAGGTCGCGGTGAAGATGATGAATCAAGTTTTGCTTCCGTGTCGCTAACTGATCCGCTTTCTCCCCTCCCCGGCATCATGAGAGTGCGACTATAGGTTTCTCATCAAAATCTATTATCAGAGTGTCCAGTTGATACGAAGGTTACCTTGTCGCTATCATAAAGCGGAATATCTGAAATGGCGGAACATAGATCTTCGTTTCGGTTTCGACAATCATTAACCCGATACTTCCGTGTTCAAAGTTTGTTTACCCATCCGGTCGAACAATGAAGGAATGAGACTAAACGAAAAGCCAAGAGTGATACAAAGCCAGTGGCACAGAATAGGAGTGAACTATTTACTTTAGGGGAGTGCCAAAGCAGCTATTATTAATTTATCTTTGATCGAACCGATCGGAAGCAGAAATAATGATTCAGTTTGCATGCTAACCCAACTAGGCCGATTCACAGGTGAATTAATAGACTCAGAAAAAAACCGCTAGAGTGCAACCAACTCTCACACTAGGATAGCAACAACAACACCAACAACAATAACAAACGCTGCAGACATAACTTCAGACTGTGTCAACAAAGTTGAACCAAAAGTATCTACACCACGTACGCTGTCCAAAGAAAAGAAACGCGTTGAATGACAGACCGAACAGTTGTCTGTACCATTGTGCCAAATACGGTAGTCAATTTAATGAGGGGGTAGTTTGTTGTCCGGACTGTATTATGTGCACAATGAACATCGACATTCACCTATGGAGTATCTTATGCCTATTTTGCCAATTCGGATCACTTGGAACGATGAAAAAGATGTTCAGAACGTTGTTCTTTCCAGCAAACGTTTTGAAAAAGATTCTGATAGAACAAGAATAACTCCTGATCGATCGTAAACGTACGAACGTAAGCGCTATCGCTCGATCCCGATGAATGTGCACAAGTCAGAGAATAACCCGGTTGCACTGATTCATGGAGTTCCTAAACTGAACGATTCAGACTCAGATTCTCCATGTCAGTACAATGATTTTCCAATCTTTAATTTGGGATTGATCGTGAGATCATCAACCGGAAAATCTAACCCAATCAACATGGCCAACCCCTCAAATCAATATTTTCATACCTTCATGCCGAATTTTTATTGATCATTTAGTCACACAATATATCTGATCTTAGCATCCTCAACAACCGGGGATGAGGTGATATCGATATAATTAAATCAAATTACCGAGGTGGAAGATTCCCAAGCTGAACAAAAAAAGCAGCTTATGGGATCTGAGAGTTGCTGGCTGCCTAGTCCAAAAGGTGTGGGAACATATTTTGGTGTTAAAAGGATTATGACAGAATGGTAGTAGAACGCATACGCGTGATGGCCGGATCCGATGGCGATGCACGAAACAGAAGAGCAAAACCAGAAAGTAAACTCACTTCCTCTTCCGTCTGTAATGTGGCCACATAAACCGGTTTGGTGACCAGTTGTCTGGTCCTCCGATCGACCAAATAAACCCACCAGCCCTCGAATTTTTCCTTTGCATAGATCAAAACAATGAAACAGAACATGAAGTGAGGGATGGAGTGGAGCGCTGAGGGGGGGGGCGAAACGGTAAATGGAGGCGAGAGAAGCATACGCTAAAACGTACAGTTACATTATCATTGTCAATGAGGGGGCTAGAAAATTAGAGGAAAACCGATTTGGTAGGTTCAATCGGTTTAGTAATCCATTGGGCACTTTGATCAAATATTGGACACCGGTTTCACACTATCGAACAGAACATTAAAACACGCGAACGTAAGAGTATGAATTCTCCAACTTCCCCCTTGATTATGTTTCACAAAGGAATGCGCTAAAGCGGTGCAAACTTTCTGGAACATTGTCCAGTAAGTTGATGGACCATCTACCGAAGCATGATCAAATTTTCGGTCAACCGAACACGTGATACATGACAATGCTAACCATTATAAACGTAAGCTAAGCAGAAGGATGGATAAATTCGGCTCACTNACAGTGAACAACATGCGTGCATAGAGGTCGAGTATCTTTTGCACTTCGGTTTGATGAGCCAGACGATGAGCCGCCCGATTTATCCACCCGATTTTTTGCTAGTTTCTCCTCTGATAGTGGTTCGTTCGACGTGGTCCCGGTCAAATTGCACAACGCATCTACTGTGTTCGCGGTAGGGTCATCTAAATTTTCCGGACCTACATCCTCATCACCTTCCAGCATCTCGATGGGATTGGTTTCGCAAGCATCTGTCGGACCATCTTCTGCCGTCTGGTGTTCGCTAGCCTCACTCAGAAAAGTGGAGCCTGTTGAGCGCGAGAATGGAGAACAGGATGAAACAGGGCAACCGGTATGGTGATAAGTGGGAATGCGGTATGCAAAACTTCCGAAATTCGAATAAATCCGTTGTATCCATCATGCGCATTATACTGGAAATCTTGCAATGCGGTTGGTGTTTCGGACTTCACATGCCACCTATTGAATCAGGTCTTGCTAAGACCATCTGTTCAGAATGTACCGGGTTCTCAATGAAGAAAAAGTACTTTTCAACTGAGTTATCCATTTGTTTTCCTCCAGACACACCACTCGTGTGGTATTGTCCTCTACAATAAAATACCAATCAATTTCAGGGCAACCACCGAAGCATGGAGGGTTAAAATCAGGCGTGCTCTTTCGTAAATCATGCCAAAATTACACTAATCTGCATCATGTTGATCTATTTAACCTTTTATTTGATACATTTTACAATCCAGTCGACTGAATCTGTAACATGACGTTCGGTCAATGGGGATTTCGGTATCATCTTTTTATATTATACATGCATTGGTGCTTGTAGTTCTTGTTGTACACAATAAATACTAACAACCAAACACAAAAACCGCTGCGACTTTGATGAGCTAGTCATTTTGTCGGGTACGATACGTGTACTTTGTCTCTTGCCTTTTTCAAAGATTATATTTTGTGCCTCATTATTCCTCCCCAGCTCCAGAAAAATTCACCTAAGCGTGAAGTTTCGGCAATGCTTAGTACAGGTAGGGAAGTAATTGTTTTACTGTTTCAATCTATGCAGCCCTCGACAACACATCATTTTCCTGGTTCCGTGAATAGAAGGTCAGGATTCGATATCTGATTATATGGATTGCTTGGGCTACTACTTTCTTGAAAATGTTTAGTTAATCAGTTTTTTTACTGTCAAGCGACAAAACTCCTAATTGAGGATTAGTTGGCTCTAAAAGTATCTCTGACTACAGCTACACCCGCATGGTGGTCCGCAGACAGATAAGCAAAAATGGACATCTTAGACAATGGCAGACTGCGGTTGGACTTGATGTTATAGATTCATGCTTTTGTTTGTTTGACATCCGACAAGGCAGCACCATTGTGCGTACGGAGTGGAGTGCAGAATTCGTCTGGAATTCGGTGAACATGATCCACCGAGTGAAGGTGGTTGGGTGGGAGAAGTAATGAGGATTTCCCTAGTTAACAGCAGTGTTGTCTGATCAGGTTGTTGAGGATCTGGTCTCGCCTTCGTATTTTCAAAACGATGTGTATATTCCAACAGCTTAAGGCCTTTTATTTCTAGATGTTTTTTGCTCTTATTGGGCACGTTTCATAACTATGATGACAAGGATTGATTAAAAAAGTGATATCAGGATTATTGGTGTAATTCACAATGAAGATAGTGAGAGACATGCTGAAACGTATGATAAGTGGTACGAAACAAAAAAATTGGCAAATGCCGTAACGGGCATTTCGCAGGAGGACAATGATAAATTAAGTCAAGTCAAGAAGCGGCTTTAATGCCACGCATTGGCTCTGATGCATGGCAGTGAAATGAGGTATAAATAAAAATGTAGAAATCCGATAACCTTTACTGGCCTACAGCAAACACCTATGTGTGATCTCAACTACATTATTTATGGAATCTGTGCCCCGTCTCAGATTTTCCATGTTACTATTACTGACGCAGTGGAATACTTGAATGCTTCGGAACTGTGGGCTCTAGGGGGTAAGGCATTGCGAGGTGATCGCTCTTCTTTGCCTTTCTGTTCAAAAATCAAGGCGGACAAGTTTGATTGGCTGGGTTTGGGATCCGCGTCTTTTGTTGATCCCCTTAAGTGAACTGCTAGTGGTTCACCGATCACCTAGACGTTCATCCCACAGGGTCGCAGCCAGGGCTAGTTGAATGGCAAGTGCCTCCGAATTTTTAAGGTCACGAATTGCCAGAGGAAAACCCTTTTCGGCACCGGTGTGTTATTGTGGTTAATCTTGCGGAGAAAAGTGCTACCATGGGGCAAACCAGCTCGGATCACTACCTACAGGTGTTGAGTTCTGACGTGGACATGTTGCTTGTGAGTGACTAAGTAGACAGTCTGATCAATACTCGCGATGGCTGCACATCGTCTCAGGAAGTCATTGCCCCCTTTCTTTTCCTTCAGCTTCCAAAATCCTCAGTATGGTCGGGGTTGGGTGTCTAGGGTTGCGGCTGGTCATCCTTCCCTTGCACCTTGCGAACTGCTCTCATACGAGCATGCGTCTGAAACAGAGTCTGCTGCGGAAGCCCTACCCACTGCCTGGTCGTGGCGGAGGTGATTTCACACCAAAGTGAGGGGACGGACGAAAAGTCGACACCCGGGGCTATAATCGGGTTGGTGGACCACTGGCAATTCACCTAGGGGAGTTGGCCAAAACCCCTGATTCCAAACCATGCTTTGTTTGGCACAGTCTGGCCTCAGACTGGTGTGAAATATAATATCTTTTCCTTTAAAATGGTTCCAAAACCGAATGACGAAGATGAAAATAACCGGCAGCGGGGACAAACTGGAGTGTGACCCCGGATGTTCATCGAGATCTGCATCCTGGACCTCTCGCTCAGCTCAAACTCGCACTGAAGCGTGGGGTGAAAAACAAGATATGCCTTCACACAAGGGGTTTTCGGGTTAACAAAGAAAGATATCCAATGGGTTGAGTCCCCTTTTCGATTGAGAGAGTAGTGAAGAGCAGCAACCAAATTCTATGGAACAATCGAGGTCAAGAAGTAGTGGGAACGATTTCGGTTTAGATTGATGTTTGCGTTGATGAAAATTAGTTGGGACTGCAAATGTAGTTTTTTTTCAGTTGCATAATACGCTTGACAACAATGAACTCTTGATTGTTCATACAAGTGCATGAAGCTTACCCGGACCATACTGATCAGTTATTCAATAGTTGTGTAGGATTCTGGGTCACAGTTCTATCCTCTCNTTTGGCGGCAGAAAGTTCAGCTATCGCCTTGCTTAAATATAAACATAGCCCAGTCGGACCCCCTATGCGATTCGCAACAACAAATCCCCAGGCTTACGGTCTGTTTTATGACTGAACCATTAACTACTCATATTGCTCTCATCACATCTAGTTGTGGTTCATACTACCCTGTTTCTTCTTTGGACTAAATTAATCGAAAAAATGATCGAATAACGACCGAGTCACCAATAGCAACGACTAGCGGTAGATAACGACGGAAAAACTAAGGACGCTGTTGCCAGAATTTGGCCTCACAAACGGAGAGGGTCTCGCGTTTGGACATTTCGAGCACGGGGTGAATAGCGTTAATATTATCTTATGCGAGATACACGTGCAAATGTGGTACTCAGAGAAGGTAGTCAATATCAGGAGAAAAAAGTTAACGACATTAGGGCGACAGGTAGAGATGAGATAAAATATCACCAGAATCACCAAAATCCACTCACCTTTCGATCCAACCAATTCAATCTCCTCGGCATCTGAATCAAGGTCATTGTTCGTCTGTTGTTCAGAAGTATTTGCAGTGCGTGCTTGTTGTAGCTGCTGTTGCTTTCGTTGTTGTTGTTGCTGCTGTTGTTGTTGCTGTTGTTTTTTCTTTCTAGCCGGCTTCTTCCGTTTACCTTTGTCCCAAACTGGAGTGGCGGACTTCTTAGGTTTATCTAACATATCCTAATATAAAGGAGAGGAAAACTAAAAAGTGAGGGTTTTTCAGTGGGATCATTCCGCTCAAAAGTGAGTGAAATTCAATGACTCACAATAAGGAAAATATCTGATTGCAAAAAGTACAGAGTCGGTCTCATTTTTCTCGTCCTTGACCAATTTGAACCCCTTTCCGTACCTCGTCTGCTACCTACCCGTATTGTGAATGAGACTAACTTTTCCTCGTAGCAAACAGCACCCTGCCTTCTGCCTTACTTATCTTGATCGTCGGGCCGAAAATGCGATCTTGGATATGGTGGATTACGTCTCACACTCTCTCAACTTGCAACCGGATGTAAATTGAGGCAAAGCATCTATCTAGCCGTCGTTAGCTTGGCCCTCATCGAGCACAGTTTCAAATCCATATCGTTCTACCTCGACCAACTTTTATCTTGCTGAGTTTTTTTCTCGTTCCCCTTCTCGGTTTAATTTTCTACCGGTTTCTTTCGTCAGTCGAAACAGTGAGCATCCGACCACTCTAGTTAGGTGTCTGTTTTGGAGTGCGGACGGCTGGTTTTATTCAGCTTTTGCAAGGACAATCAAATCAGAAGAATACCAGCAAACGAAATTATTATACGCATGAAGCAGTACACTGGTATTACTGTGAGCAACTCCTAAGCAAAAATTCCTGTCCTCTTTGCGTACGTCTACGAACGACTGGGTTTGCTGTTGCTCATATAAGTGCAATGACTTTCATGCGGTTTAATAATTTTCAAGTTCTGTCAAAACTGATTTATCATTCCATTAACATACCGGGTAATCATCTCCCAAGTCCGCGTAACCCATAGGACTAGCACCATCGAAACCGGCATCGGCAGATCCTCCGACAGTGCCACTGCCAGTGGCGGCTGGATACAATTGCGAATTAGGCAGATGATCGTACGCTGACGAGTCCGGTCGTGCGTTTGGTCCGCTTCCGTTGTAATGTGAATCCTGAAAGGTGGTCGCATTGTTCACTGCACTCGGTTCGAACAGTGGAGTACGCCGAAGCAAAACGGTGGCTGTGACCATGCTCAACGGCCATATGCTCGGATCATCATCGTCGAGAACCTGGGATATGCATTGCGGGGAGGAAGAAAGGTGATTAGCTATCATTATTGTTAACAAACTGACTGATCAGTTCAAGAACACGGACTATAAACCACATCGTCAGAAGATAAATGTTTACATTTCAGTTTATTCAGTGGATGCTTTGGCTGTGTTGCAGAGTTATCTAACAATACACATCGTAATGCGAACTGAAACACAGATACAATGTTCACATTGTGAATGACGGCTTACTTCACATTGATAGCTTATGGACAGCATGGGCATTGAAGCGCACACGTTAAGCAAATCCCGATACTGTTCGTCTGATAAACTACGCAGCAAAGCGCGACGTTTCTCATCCGGAAGTCGAACCAGTTGACGGATAGACTTGATGTTGCGCTTCACGTGAGATTAACAGGGGCAGACAGAACAAAAGAAAGTGGAAAAAGGTTCAACTGAAGGAACAACAGCAACATAAACCCGCAGTTCACCCTTGCAAGAATCCAAGCAGTTGCAAAATAGTAGCAAAGGAATAGAACGAGAGTGGAAGCCGAGGAGTTCTAATAAATAGAAACTATCCTTGGCATAAGCGCAATCATTCTTAGTCACAGACTGATACATACAGATATTCGGATTAAACTATTGACTGTAACCTGTTTTGACAGTTGGAAAATGCTGCGGGTGGGCGTTTCGTAAGAAATACGAACAAACAAAAATTTCCCTACTTTTTCACAAAGTTACTGCAACAGTTCATAACACTAACTAGCCCGTTTGCAGACAGATTAGTAGATTATTCGAAACAGCACTGGTATTTCATTCATGTGTACACTTCCTTGCACATAGATGGGCGACATGTGAGATAAAGAAAGAAATATCTGATGTTTAGTATTGACAGTCTATCTCAGATGAGCATCTCGAGACCCAGTCGAAAGAAGAAAAAAGAAAATTGACTGTCAACTGTCAACTGTTTTCCATATCGTTGTTCGTGCTTTGTAGTTCGCCTCATCCAACTATGGCATAGATTTCTTGAACGCAATCCAGTGTGGACTTCCCGTGGCAGTTTTGCCTGTTGAATTTTACTCTCCACGGCACTCAGACATCTCATTTTCACTGGAATCGGTACTCTGGGACCAATTTCGTGGCATCCTCCATCAACATCTGTTCGTACTTGGCATAAAGACCATGGATGGTGATGAAACTAGCATATCTAAAGCCGCGTATGATTCTGCTATGGATACTATCAGTGCAAGCTTACGGTTGGGTTATCTTGGTGGTTCACACACACCACATAATTACGAGTTATTCTCTTTTTTGAAAAACAAAAGCTGATCAGCAATTTGAAACCATGAGTATAGAGTCGTTGACATTTTGACTTCCAGTCACTGCTCACACAAAAATCATTATACCCATTCACCGCAGCATCTTCACTACTTTTGCTTACAACAACAATCCCGGTATCGGAAGATGGTTCCGACGAGCAGTGAGAATCCGTCCCGAAATAGCACTGTTGATGATAGCATTAAAGTAACCGTTACATTAATGTGACTTGAGCTTCCTGACTCCAAATAGTTTTGATTCTGGTTTTGTTTCACAATCAACGCTGTCGCGACATCTGACTGTTTGGAAGGGGTCAAGTGTATGCTGCAGCAGATCGGCCAGAGTCCTGGCCATTAACGAAATACGATAAAGATAGACTGTCGGTGTTTGAACATCGCTGTCTGCGCCAAATTGCACGAATCTGGTGGGGAAACGAAACAGGCAATGGTGAGAGTTGGCGCAGACCTTTGAGTAACCGCGGCCGTCCATTGGAGCAAGCGGCTTGGACATGTGTTGCGCATATCATCAAATAGGCTGCTACGGTGCTCAAGGTTTGCCGAGGTGGGTAGTGAATGAAAAAAGATCAAGGGCGATCAAACTAAAACCCGGCATGAGTGTATGGAAGCCTTGAACAGGAAACTCAGTCATGTTAGGCTACCTGGATGAAGACCCGAAAATTATGGTAACCCGTGGTTAGAGACAGAGTGATACGACTGGGGATTGCAAACAGTGGCGCTCAGTATCCTTGCAATCTTAGTTCACGTGAGTTCTTTATCTTCTCTCTGAGTCTGCTCTGAACATTCCAATCCTCCTTCTGATTCTTTATTAAAAATGTGCAGCCTAAAGATAGCAACCAAAACCAACGCACAAATGTGCATGGTTTATGGTTGCAAAAACTGAACAGAACCCTATAACTGAAATCGAATGGAATCTTCACTAAAGGAACGTCATTTCTGCACACATAGATAACTTTACTTCAATACCAAGGGCCGGGGAATATATATTTTGCAAATCGAATTGCATGATAGATCGTGAGTTGAACTGCTATGGTGTCAAATTTTCAGTGAATAGATAGTAGGCGAACCTAGGAGACTTGCTATGAGGATGTGCTCCCAAGGTGCATTTGCAGAAGCCACCATCGTGGGTGATTATGGGTATCGGAACCAGCAAGACCAAATGTTCCTACGACCTTCTGTAAGACACATCCATGCTCATGCGTGTCCAGGCAAATGAAACATTTGATACCAGTAAAAACAGAAGAGCAAACGAGCTGTCTTTGGCACGGGACAAAATGGTGTCTTACGCCGATGTCTATCTTGGTAGACGACTTGATGGCTCTGTTCACTCTTGGGGGATTCAAGGGGTAAAATCAGTTGGGACCGAGGGGCAATGTGTTCGCACAGAGGGTTCGTCACTTTTCAGAGGTACGCCCTGACGGTAAATCCTGCAACATTTTAACACCAGGTGGAACGGTCAGATGGCTCGAACAGAAATTCTGTAAGAGCATCGAAGCAGTGATTAGAGTTATCAGCTTTTGGTTTTTAAAAGATCACAATCTTTAGAAGCGCACATACAAGCCGAACTAAGTTTGGATGATGAGAAAGGAGCACCATTTAAATCTAACAGAAACCAGGAGAAAGTCACACGTGGACGAGACAGAGAGGCGGACGAACAGACAGTGACCGCTACAGTTTCATTCCAGA